CTTTTTCGAATTTTTAAGTTACTCAAAAATCGGGCAAAAGTCCCTGTAGTATTATAGTACATGGTCATGGACCAAATTTTGCCAAAAATGACTAGGAGAGAATTTTTCATTTTTATAGCTTATTCTGATGCATATACATGGTCTTATGTTGCATAAAAATTTTGAGCTGATTCCGATCGAAACTGGATTTTTTACAAAATTTAAAAATTACTCAAAAATCAGGCCAAAGTCCCTATACTATAGATGGTCACTGGCCAAATTTTTCCTAAAATGACTAGGAAAGAATTCTCCATTTTTATAATTTTTTTTCTGATGCATGTAAACACTCAGTGCTGTGAGAGTTGTTCCACGCGGTACCAGTCGAAGTGTTAGGAAATTATCGAAATCAAAGATTCCTAATCTCAGCAAGTATGAAGACATCAGCGAGTTCATCCTTGGGTCAGTAATCCTCAGTAAACTATTAGTAAACTATGCATTGAGATAATGAGCATTGTAATTATAATTAGGTGCTATTATCATTATTATTATTGTTGTTATTATTATTTTATTAATTTTAGGGGTGGAGCTTCAGAGAGTGAGGGGGAGGAGGTAGAGGGAGAGATAATAACTCCTGGTCAAGATATTCCAGGACAAGGTGGTGCTCAGCAGCAGAAAAGTGCAGTAAAATTATATGAAGTAAGAAAGAGAATTTTAAAAGTAATAATCATTTGTAATAATGGCATATTTTTAATGCTAATTTTGAGTGGTATTTTTATTACGTAGCTTGGCCCAAGGTTGTCATTAAAGTTGGTTAAGATTGAAAGTGAGCTTTGTACTGGTGAAGTCCTGTACCATAGCTACAGTGAGTATTAATGAGATAATTATCTGCATCAAACACAAATGATTATTGTTTATTATTATTAATATTATTAGTTGAGAAATCTGAAAAGGAAGCAAAGAGTTTACGAAAGAAAATACTTGAGGAAAGGTACACCAAACTGACCGTCTATATATATTGTTATGGTGAACATGTTAATGTTAGTATTTTAATTTTCTTAGACGGTTAAAGATTGCCAGAAAGAGAGAGCAGGAGAAGAACGTCAAGAGAAAGAAAGAAGCCAAAGAAGCTTTAAGGTAGTGTCACCTCCAAATGCAAACCCATAAACTTAAACCCGTGAAATGATTGAAGTGCCTTCTCCTGAATAAAAAACCACAGAAATAATGTACACATAGTTTTTCCTATTATTTGTCTATTATTGTTATTATTGTTATTATTATTAATTTAATTTAATTTAATTTGTTATTATTATTAATTTAATTGAATTTAATTAAAAAATTTTTTTGACCTAATTTTATTATTATTGTTACTATTACTATTATTATTATCAAAAATACCACATAAGGAGAGAGCAAGTTAGAATGAATATATATACATGTAGTTTGAGGGAAAGTCAGAATTTTTTCTTGGTTGATTATTATTATTATTATTATTATTATTATTTTATTTTATTTGTAAGCTTTAAAAACTCTTTGCTCTATTCTTTACTTTCCACTATCTTTCCCTTATTCTCTCCTAACCTATTCTACTATTCTGTCCTATTTTTACCTTTATCACAGTTGTTGTTATTATTATTATTATTATTATTATTATTATTATTAATTTATTATTATTATTAGACGTCAGGAGAGGATCAGACAGGGTAAGCCTCCTCTAGAAGCCGAGGGTCAGCCAGGGCCTGATGTAAGTGATGATGATGATGCTGAGTGGTACAAGAAAGAAGTAGGCGTGGCCCCAGACCCAGGTAATTAATACGTGTAATACTCCATACATGTACATGTAAGTATACATCTCCGTATGTTCTCATACAAACATAAGTCCAGATTGGGCTTCTATTTTCTTATTTAATTTAAACAAAATGCTGAACTATTGAGGGTTAAGGCCTTTCTTTCTACACTTGCAATGAAGTTTAAAACTGGTTTAGAACTGATCCACTATAATGCCTATCATGTGATTCTACACTATCTTCAGGGGGGGGGGCGGGTCTTGTATAATTATTTTGATAGTATTTGTGAACCAGCTGCCATCGGTTATCTATTGATTGTGCTTTTAAACCACATATGGAGGTCGTTGACTTAATTTCTCATTCAAGCCAATTCGAATTAGGCGTAAAATGACTGGAACCAGTTTCAAACTATTTGCATTAAGCCCAGCATCCACTAGGCAACTTTGTTGAAATCAACAGAAATTTTGCTGCCAAAAGTAGAACACTGTTCTACTTTTGGCAACAAAATTGACATACATCAAAGTAACCACAAAATTGCTTTCAACAAAGTTGCCATAGTGGATGTTGGGCTTAAGAAGTCCTAGTGTAGAAAGGCCTTATATAATTACATAAGCTTTTATTATTATTTTTTTTTTTATTTTTATTATTTTAGAGAGGTGTGTTAAGGTGGGTTCAGAATATTTGCGTTGCGACCGGAAGTGCTGTATAACGCAATGGGTAAACGCAAGAATAGAACTCTGCTCTATTCTTGCGTTTATCATTGCGTTATATGGCACTTCCGGTTGCAACACAAATATTGTGAACCCACCTTTAGTGTATATATAAATAATAGACATTGTTATGAAAATTGTGCACAATGCCCTAGTGTATTTCATGTGTATTGTTATTTTTATTTTGTTGATACAATTTCAAGAGTTGATGCTTCAGTCTAAAGCCAAGAAGACAAACAGGACATCATTAAGCAGTGATCAACATAGAAAGAGGAAAAGACTGACTGTAACTGATACATCCTTCAAGAAGAGAAAGTTTACCGGTACAGTCTATCGTAGGAAGTCAAAAAAATGAAGATTTAATGACGTTAATAATTATAATTTGTTTAATAATCATTAGTATTATGAGTCATAAATATAAAATAAAATATAAATAAGTATAATTTAAAGATGCTCATCTTTTCAAGTCGCATCCATCGATTATAAAGGGTTTGTGATGACTGCCATTAACTCTGATTCTATGAGTGAATCTGTCCATCGCTACCTTTTGGAATGATCCCCCACCACAGACTATCAATCTTGAAGCTTGTGACATTATATTCTGTTCTACTTGAGCTACAAAAGCACTGCTTTGCATGCAATTGAACTCCTTTGGGTCAAAACTGGTCACTTTTGCATTAAAACTGTCTAATATTTTTTTGTAGAATGTCCAGTAATAATCTGCAAAATACAGGATCTTTTTTATTCCTGTCTCCGACTGGACTTGCTTCACTTTTCGGAAAGTTTTTACCAGGCATTTAGTGTCGTTTAGACCATGCTTCTTATGATTAATGCCAAGTTTTTCAGTTCTTAAGTGAACTCCAATGAACTCGACTTTTTTTCCTACAACCTCTGTCATGAATTGATTTGCACATTTGACTACCAAGTTGCTTTGTTCAAGTGAGGAAGGTTGTGGTGGAGTATAATTAGCTACGTAGCTTGGTGGTACTAGCAATCGGAATCTATTTTTCGCTGATATCCCACGCCATTCTTGGAACACGACCACGAAACTCTTCAAATCGTTGAATCCACAGCTTTTAGCTATTTCCTGGGGAAGGATGGGGACGTGAGACGGTACAAAGCAACAGGTTGTTCTCATCCAGGGAAAATGATTATTATAAAAGTACTTACTCGAGTGACTGCATCGTATCTGTTTCGATTGCCGGTGCAGCTTTTTTCTCCTTCCATGGTAAATTCTTATGTAAAATAGCTGCAGTTTTTGACTTTTAAGCTCTCTAAGGAAATACTCGTAACTGACTAGTTTAGCAAGCCCTGAAGGTGGAGAGGACTCGTACTTATCAAGTTTAAAGAGTGCATGCAGTGATGGGGAACTGTAGTAGTTGAAATGAGAGCTAAAGTTCTTTACCCCTCCTCTGTTGGGGAAAGCACCCAATGAAGACTTGAGAAGAAATGGAACGGGGACGACTGCGTCTAAATCGTGAGCAATCTTTAGAAGCGAGAACATGTTAGTCACAGCCATAGTCGTCTTTTCCCAAAAGTGGGCTGCTAAAACGAATCGCCCGTGAGACTTCGAGCTGGCTTCGACCGGTGGTGGGGTGATTCTGAGCCCTTGCATCCCTTCTTCCTCTTTGCTTGGGACTAATATATAGCGAGCGTCTCTATTATGGGTCTCGTTTAGCCTACATAGAGTCACTAGGAGGTATAGTGCGGCTATAGAGAGGGCAGCAATGGCTATCTTTCTTCTCATCGATAGCATGATGCGCAGAAAGAGGGGTGGGGCTGGATGCAATTATTCTTGAAATTAAAGGAATGTTCCATCAAACCAACGAAACCATTGTTTTAGTAAACACACCATTGTTCACAAGACTATATTGTGTTGTCAAACAGTACATTGAGTAACAACTACAGTAGAGTGCTCTACTTCTCTGTTGGTAAAACAAACTCATCTTTATTGCACTAACATTACTATAGCTTGCTGAAATTAGCCCGCCAGAAGGAGAACTGTGAACAAGATTTTGATTTTTAAATTTATATTTTCCCCATAGAGAGTCCACCACGAAAGTTTTATACACAGGATTAATTGCAATAATTATTATTCTTTAAAAATTGAAGATGTATAACAAAATTACAATCAATGACTATAATAGCCAGCATAAAATACTGCCAAATAATAATAATAATGCCTAGGTAATAATAATAATAAAACAAAAACTACCCTAAATGTTATTTTAATGGTAAATATACACAGCGATTAGAGAGAATGTCAATAATAATAAGAAGAATAAGAATAATAATAACAATGTAATTATTTTAATGGTCGGTGCGGCCTAACTTTAATAAGTTAATTAAGCCTTTACGGGCGGAGTCTGCTTCAGTTGAAGGAACATGCTTCGCATTCGTGAGACGTCTTTCGTATTTTTGTTACTTTTGGGATTAAAGTCACAGATGTTAGCTACTTTTTCCCACTCGTGTCCTGGGGTAGTGTTATCCCTCTCCTCAATAAAAGCTTCTTCTGCTTGCCTAAGGGAGAGAGAGAGGAGGGGGAGAGAGAGAGAGAGGGAGGGAGGGAGAGAGAAAAGGAGGGAGAGATTGAGAGTTACCACACAAATATCTTCTTTTTCAAACCTGTTTGATTCTTTTGTGTGCTTCAGTTGATCCTCAAAATGAGTATACCAATCCTCCAGCTCTTTCTTAGCGTTTGCTCTTAACTCTTCCAGTGCTTCCGCCTCCTCTCCATCCTTCTCTGCCAACATCTTCTCCTGCTCCTGCTTCCATTGTCTTTAAAGAGAATGATATTTTAAAAGTTTAAATTTTTTAGACTTGGATACAATTTATGATGACCATCAGTTATTATTTGTATGGGTAATTGGTTCTATTTTTGTACATTATGTACATGTATGCGTGCGTTAAATCCACAGAGAGTAGCGCACTACGTGTAACTCAATGGGCAGTTATCACACGCACTAAAGGGACCATCACTATCAGCACTTGATACACACACACACCACATATTGTACACTGTAATGGTGCCTTAATAAATCAGTGCTATTTGACAATAAAAAACAATATGAATATATAATAGTTACATACATAATAGTATATTGGGTCATATTTTTATGAATATCATGATTTAATGACAATTGCATTTCAAAAATCAATACAAAATCTTATAAGGCAGAGAGATCTTGATTTTGATCGATTGGTGAAATACATACATGTACTCGTGTATATGTACAATACTCTAACCAGACTTACCTAATACATTCTGGTGTCTCGTCCATTTGAGATATGAAAGAATAAGGATCACTTGAAACTGGTTGTTCATCAGCCTACGAGAGAAAGAGAGAAGACAAAGATGGGCGGAGTCATTTTTAAAAATAAACTTGTCCTCACTAGTTGAGATCCAAAGAGTCCGCTGCCACTTTGAAGACCTTCTCCAGTAGGAGGAGCTACGTCAGTACTCTAAAAGACACAAATAAACAATCTCTTTCCTTCTTTTCCTCTTTCTTACCAAAGGGGCGTCGTCTGACATTATCCCTTGAAGCTCGTCTTGTTCTCTCGCGAGGAACCCGGCGGCCGGATCGTCGTCGAAATTAGGCTGTTGTTGACCCGTCTCGTCCATTTTAAGAGAGTGAAATAGAAAGGGAAGGTGAGAACAATATCAAGGGAAACAGGATACACAAAACAAAATGGAGGACGGTAGGGTTGGAGGAGGGCGGGGCTCGTTTGTACTGCGCATGCGCAAAACAACTCCCTCTCTTCTCTGCACTTCAAGATGGTGAGTGTCCATTATGTAGTTTCTTTTCTTTATCTCTTTCCATCATAGCATCCCCAATGCTTAAATATTATACATGTACATGTGAATGTAGCCTGTTTTTATTATTACTATATATATTTGCAGCTGCAATTATTCCCATCATACTAATATAATAATAATAATTATGTATAATAATTATTATTCTGATTTTATTTGTATAGGCGTTAGTTTTACCGGATGGGTTTCAGCACATCCTTCGTGTTCTTAATACTAACATTGATGGAAGACAGAAAATCATGTACGGGCTGACTTGCATTAAGGTCTCTATTGAAAACAATGAGTACTATAATTATTATAATTAATTATTAGGGTGTGGGCAGAAGGTATGCTAATCTGGTTTGTAAGAAAGCCGAAGTTGACATGAATAAACGAGCTGGAGAATTAACTGAAGAAGAAGTAAGTAATGAGGGCACTGAATGAAATAGGGGATACATTAACATTTATTAATGATTAAAATATTGAAGTTATTTATGTGTAATTAGAATTATATTGGTAGTATATGAATAGTTATGTGTATTGAATGAGGAATGGTGAATGTGACTCTTAATATTAGAAAAATCATTAGACTTCTGATATTAATGATCAAATATGAACTTTTGCTTTTTCTCTCTCTCTCTCTCTCTCTCTCTCTCTCTCTCTCTCTCTCTCTCTCTCTCTCTCTCTCTCTCTCTCTCTCTCTCTCTCTCTCTCTCTCTCTCTCTCTCTCTCTCTCTCTCTCTCTCTCTCTCTCTCTCTCTCTCTCTCTCTCTCTCTCTCTCTCTTTCTCTCTCTCTCTCTCTCTCTCTCTCTCTCTCCCTCTCTTTCTCCCTCTCTCAGATTGAGCGTGTTGTCACAATCCTTCAGAATCCTCGTCCATATAAAATCCCAGATTATTTCCTTAACAGGCAAAAGGACATCAAAGATGGAAAGTATTCACAAGTAAGGGAGTCATTTATAAAAATAAACTGTACTAAGTTTTGAAGGAGGAAAGTTTGACAATTTCCATGTTTTGATAACCTTTTATCAAAATAAAGCTAACTGTTATGTGTCCATTAAACCCACTAATCACCAAACAATTGGCAATTCGCCCCTCATAAATAACCAGCTGTAATTGTACTATCGTATGTCAGGACATTTTAGAGAGAGTTAAATTTGATGATTGGCAAATTTCAATTTGCTAATTTTGTAGCCATGTACCATTGAGCATGCGCATAATAGCTCAAAATGGCAGATTTTTATTTTGGCGAATGGCTATCAAAAGGCCAAATTTAACTGCCTCCAAAATTTCCTGCTACACGGTATGATTTGATCTTTTTCTTTCTCTCTAGGTTGTATCTAATCAATTGGATAATAAGCTTAGAGAGGATCTTGAGCGATTGAAAAAGATTAGAGCTCATCGTGGCCTCCGCCATTACTGGGGGTAAGCTCCGCCCAATATATATACTTCTAATTAATGCCCACCATCAATTTTTAGTCTAAGAGTCAGAGGCCAGCACACCAAGACAACAGGAAGGCGTGGTCGCACAGTGGGCGTGTCCAAGAAGAAATAAAACAATTTCATTATTGTCCTATTATTATTATTATTAATGAAGAATGAATATTTGATTTCAGTATATGCCCGGAAAAATTTATGCCATCTAGCTGGAAGATCAGTGTTAAAAGTTTGCGGATTGATTCTTTTGAGATTTTGATATAAAGTTTTTAATTATTATTTAAAACTAAAAATTGAGGACCAGCCCTCGTAATTCTCTTCTCATCACAACAATAATAATAAATATTACAATTAATTGAATCTCATTAGAGGGGGCGGGGACGACGTATGCGTGATATTCGGTGAGCTCTGGGTCCTGGATCTTGAACCGTCGGTACCAGGAACAAGAGTATGGGAACCAGAAACTGCCGGAGGAGGAACCCCAATAGCAGCAGGAGGAGGTACGTGAGCACCAGGAGGTGGAAAAGGGAAATTAGGAGGAGGAAAATATGACCGAACAGGAGGGGCGTGAGCACCAGGGGGAGGTACGTAGGAACCTGGACGAGGTACATAACCAGGAGGACCAGGATAATAAGGAGCTTGGGGCATGGGCTGTTGATAATTAGCCATCCTGTTAGTGGGTGGTGGATAATAAGTTCCTGAGGATGTCATTGGGTTAACAGGAAGGGGTGGTCTAACGTAATGAGGTACTCGTGGCGATATTTGAGGAGAGGGTGTGCTAGTGGGAAGATGGGATGCCTTTGAGACGACCGGTGAGAGTTTCTTCTTATAGAGACTTTGAGGGGGAGGGCCGGAGAGAACCGACTGGACCTGTTCCCTGACGCCTGTCTTCAGCTCGTCAAGACGGGACATCATCACGTCCGTTTCGTTTGACATCTCTTGTAGCCTTTCGTTGATCTTCTCAACTGCCTCACAACAAGACTAGAGAAAGAGAGAGAGAGAGGTTATAAATGTACTCAAAACATGTGTACATGTACATGTACATGGAGTCACGTACAGTACATGTGTACATGTACATGCTTGGACTTCTGCCCAATTTTTGAACAACTTTAAAAATCCAATTTTGCTCGAAATCAGTTCAAACTTTCTACACAAGATAAGTACATGTACACGTATCAATGGCACACACACAGTTACAGTAATAACACAAACACATAGCTGGACAAACAATACCCTCATTATCTAAAAATAACATTAAAATATGAAGGGATTTATATTATAACGGCAGCATTGTAATGTACATGTACGTGTACCAGGATATACATGTACATGTAAGAAAATGTAATAATTATACATGTACTGTACATGTATATACTTTACATCTACATGTACATTAAAATGATAGCTCGTTATTATCATTATTACTTCGATTATCGTCATATTTTCAACCATTTCTTCGTCATCGTATTCCTCTATTAACAGATCAGCATCTGTCTTACCATTAACGTAACCCATCTTACTAGAATGAGAGAGAGAGAGGGGGGGGGAGGGAGAGAGAGAGATGAAAGGGAGAGAGAGAAAGAAAAAGCGAAACAGAAAGTAACAGAAAATGTGTTGTTGTTGTTACAAAAATTGCTGTTGCTGCTTTCATCTTTGTTGTTGTTGTCGTCAGTTTTGTTTTTGTTATTTACTTGTTAAAATCTTCTACAGACATTTTAAGTTTATCGGCTGAAATGGACTCGATAAAAGTAACTGCACCACACTACAAGAAAGAGGGGGAAAGAGAGAGAGGGAAAATTTCAACAATGAGTAATGGTTATGCTCTAGGTGCATGTACACTAAGTACGTGTGTCTTTCACTAAAATATAATAGTTTTAGACCCCTTACCTAAACTTAAAACCCAATTTAATTATTTAACACAATAAAGCTGTTAATTACATAATGTGATGTACATGTGCATGTCTTAACTAACAAAGTAATAAACTGACCAGATTAGTAAAGTAGTATCCACATTCGCCAGACATGACTCGCATAGGATTACTGAATCTTGTTATGTAACTGAAAGAAAGAGAGAGAGAGAGAGAGGGAGGGAGGGAGAGAGAGAGAGAAAGAAAGGGAGGGAGAGAGAGAGAGGGAGAGGGGGAGAAAGAGAGAGAGAGGGCAAAAAGGAACATGTATGTTAAATTTATGTAAGTCATATTAAAAGGTCCCTACTTTATATTTGACTGGAGGTGCTGTGGACTGGTGTGTATTACAAGAAATATGAGACCAGGAACAAACTCATCAGCACTAGCCGGACCACCATGAGATATCCTTAGAGCATCTGAAAGAGAAAGAGAAAGAGAGAGACAGAGAGGGAAGGGGGAAGAGGAGGGAGAGAAAAGCAAGTTGATATAAGAATAATTGTTCTCTGTTTACCAAAAGTGTCCAGAGCAATTGGTAACCATTAGATACACATTTGAATAACAACTTATGATAACATACATTAATGTAAGTACATGTATGTAACAACTTCTCTGTCTGTCTGTCTGTCTCTGTCTCCCTCCCTCTCTCCCTCCCTCTCTCTCTCTCTCTCTCTCTCTCTCTCTCTCTCTCTCTCTGTATCTCTCTCGGTGGTCCGGCTCGCGCTGTCGCGCTCCGCGGTGTTTAAGGAAACCTTACCTAGCAACAGCTTACAACTCTTTGTTATACAGTTAAGTTTATCCTGTGGGGCCTTCCTTGTTTCAACATTCCACAGTTCTAGGAAAAAGGAAATGTAACTACATCTAATCATCTCATAGAAAGAAACCTTTTACTACATTGTAGGTTATTGTAGGTTATTGTAGGGGGTACAAATGTACATGTAGATATACCACTCCTACATATAATAATTATACAGGTCACGAATTGGTATGTACACTCTATAAGTGGAGCCAAAAATACATGTACAATTGATGTAGTATATGTACAGTACATGTAACATGTGTCGTAATAGAAATATTAAATATTAAAGTGGAGAGACTATAACTTGAGTGGATGATGTACAGGAAATGGAATGTACTTATGTATGATTCAATTACATAATATTATCATCAATCACTTTCTAGGAATTATTGAGTGCATAAATATAGCTGATAATCATCTTCTAAATCTATTTATATTACATGTACATGTAGTTGTAGTTGTACATGTACATGTGAATTAAGATATACATGTACATGTACATGTATATGAACCTTGTCTGGCTTGTGCTACTATTCCCTGTACTTCAATGTTGCTCAGGTCAAGGGTTACATCAAGTATAGACGGTTCAAGCCAGTGCAACATGTTAATCCTCCGAACAAACAACAGATCCTTTATATCATCATCGCATGACGGAGGAGCAAAAACACTGAGAGAGAGAGAGGAGGGAGGAAGAGAGAGAAGGGGAGAGAGAGAGAGGGGGGAGGAAGAGAGAGAAGGGGAGAGAGAGAGAGAGAGGGGAGGGAGAGAGAGGGGGGGAGGGAGAGAGAGAAAGAGAGTGAGAGAGAGACAGAGACAAAGAGGGAGAAAGTTAGTGTTAAATACATGTACATACAAAAAGGAAATGGAAGGATACTAATCACACAACTGTCACTAAAGTAACGACCACATGTCATACATGTACATGTACATACATGTACATGCACAAAATCCAGTATAAGTCCCTCACTTACTAGCGATATATGGAAGTGGTGAGGTGTTTCTCTATCCCATCCATAGTCTCCTCTTGCTCCAAATCACTCATAGTCTTAAATAAAGGATGAGTCACCAACCTCTCAGAGGTGGACTAAAGAAGTTAACACAATTAAAATAAATTAGAGAATACCCATCACATTACAATATCTACAGATTGTACCACAATTAAATACTAATGCACAAAATGATAAACTAATGAAGTTAATAATCAAATAGTTATAAAATTAATTTAATATCAAGATTGTTGGGGAATTAACAATATCATCATGCTAGATCCGCCTATTGTAGTGGAAACCAAAATGATAATGATACAAATATGTATCATTATTATTATTTATTCCTATTAATATTACTATTTTGTTTCATTCCGAGAATTTTTAAATCACCGATATAACCGGCCAATTGCAAATTTTTAACAAATTACCCAATTGAACTCCCAGCCAATATCCCAGCTGGACAATGCACTAATCAAGTGTAGCATATCTGTACTATAGCATATTGTTGTATGTACCAGAACATATTAATTAATTAATTAATTAGCTACTTACTCTGTAGAATTCTTGCACTAAGTCACTCAATTCTTCAATAGTTGCAGTAGGCGACTTCTCAACAATCTGCCTCTTAAAACTAACGGAAGTACATTAATAAAGAACATAAAATTTAAAAAAGATCAAGTAGGCAAATTCGTAAAAAAGTAACAGAAACAAGGACAAGTAGGATAATAATAATAATAATAATAATAATAATAATAATAATAATGATAAAGTGATTTGTTGACAGCAGGTTGTGTTACTACCTTTTTAAATGCTGGACTATGTCCTGGGCAGCTGGCTTCTTGAGCGTCTTCATAAACTCGTTGAATGAATCGGAAGATCTCCTGGTTTTAGCACCTGCAAATAAAGAGGACAATAAAGAGAGAGAGAAAGGGAGAGAGAGAGAAAGAGGGAGAGAGAGAGAGAGAGAGAGAGGGAGAGAGAGAGAGAGGGAGAGAGAGAGAGAGAGAAAGGGAGAGAGAAAGAGAGTCACTTTTGGATGGTTCCTCTTCTTGTGATGGCTGTGCCCCACTGTTACTGTTTGGTCGAATCTTCAAAGGAGCTTTAAAAATCTTTCCATGCCTAAAAATAATAAAACAATTAAAACAGACAATTTTAAATCCGCATACCCTTTAGCACTATTAAATAAGGTTTTACGCCTCGTAAACTTGGCAAAACCTAGTCCTTCAGCACCTGCATCACCTAATGTAGAAATACATGTACGTATATTTAAAAAGAGATGAATATAAAAAGAAAAGTCCTTGTATAACTCACTCTCTTGTCCTTTAGCGACAGGAGCAGGAGTCTTAGATGGCTTCCCTTCATGGCTGACAACTTCCTTGTAGCATTTCGAGCAATAGCCCTGGTACATTGGGTTCCCATAAAACCCACACCTATAGGAAGAGAGTGAGAGGGGAGTCGTGATTCGGCCTCCATCCACTTACTTGTTCTTGCATCTTAAGTCTGGATTGTCGAGTCTATTAGACCACTCACTCGCCATTTTGTTTTAACGTGTGAAACCACACCTACTTCGTTAGACTCCGCCCCTTTACTTACAGGCATTGATTTTTTTCTATTTTGAGCACTACTGCAAATCTGCCTTAACTTTTTCTTCCTTTTATATGATCAACTAGCAAAATACTAGCTAGATGCTCTACAGAAATTCTAGTAGAAATTTAGAAAAGTTCAAAATTGACATCCACTTCCAATTCTAGTTTTATAGCTTCCAGCCACACCTTTAAGCGTGGGCGTTATCCGGGATTAAAACCGATTTCCCGAAGCCTCTTGCTTTACTCTCGAGTGGTTACTGAAGGAATTCTTCTGCTCTTAGGACAAGAATGGCCGTTTATCTGACAGAGCAAGACTTAGTCAACATAAAGCTAACCGTTTTAACGTTAGAAAGACAAGAAATAGCACGGAACATCGACCCGAGGAGGTTTTTCGGACACTTGCGTGCAAAATATATTTTCGACGAGAGGGATTGCGATGAAATAAGAGCAGTACCCTCTAGAATAGGCTCTGCTGAGGCTTTTGTGGACGTATTGAAAAGAAAAGGAGCGCAAGGCTATGATGAGTTCTGTTCTGGCCTGATGAAAGATAGGACACAGCTATTCCTTTTACAAAGAATGACCAAGACTTTAGAGCAACTCCGGGCTAAAGTACTGGACAAAAAGAAAGGTAAAATAGCGTTAGTTATGAAGCATGATAATAGAATAATAGTATTAGATTTCGTATGGGCAGAAATAGGAAGACATAATGTAATTGCAGTACATACTAATGAAATTATTGCTGTTGGAGTAATGAAACATAGAACATAATGCTCAACATAATGATTAAACTGTACTAGACTAGTAGATCTGTAATAATTATATATAATTATATATATATATATATATATATATATATATATATATATATTGCTTAATGATAGGCCATTAGCAGTTAAAAACAAGCTTATGCATAATGTACATGATAATTGCTATTACAATCACAATTGGAATATCCATCTTCATAGCGTTGTTTCCTTGTAGTAATTGAGTTTCATTTCTTGCATGACTGAGGAACAAATGTAGGCTGTAGGATGCTTTGAATTTTTGGAATAGGAAGAGAGAGGGAGAGAGGCAGGGATATGTAGTGTAAACATAAGCAAATTCTCAGAATGTCAAGTTAATTTTTGATATGTGTAATGATGATTGGTTATAGAGTATCAAATCTCTCATTTGAATTACATTCTCTCTTTGTATCATTAGAAAACCTTCTTTTGAAGTTGTCTCCACAAGGAATGGGCGGAGCCCCGCCACACCCTCATTACCACTTTCACAGCCACACCCTTCCCCCAGGGGGCTTCCCCCCGCGTCAATTCCCACACCATCCGACACTCGACTCCGCCCCTCTCCGTCACATCGTCTACAATCAGGGACCTCCACCGCCTCTTCAAATGCAAGGAGGAGGAAATGGACACCGACCGCTTAGAAAAGTAAACTCGAGGACTTCGAACAACGCTGAATACATTGACAATACCCAGTATTATTATAATGGATCAATATCGCCAACAATACCGGAGATGTATCCCGTGCCCAAGTTCCCCTCCTCTCTCCCTGAGCACGGTCAACTCGTACCGGAACGAGAGAGCATGATGGCATTCACTCCTCCTCCACCCTCGTCTTATCCGCCCCCTCACTTAATGGGAGAAGGTTGGCCGGATGGACCACTCCCACTTATTGGACTACCGGGACCACACCCTCCTTTCCAACAAATGCCCGGTATTCTTAGCAGAGGTGGAGGGGAGGAAGAAGATTGTGACGCTCCGGTGGGATACGATAAAGCTACAGCATAAGACGCTGCTATTTTTATTATTGTTATTGTCCTATTTGTGATCTTAACGGCTTGCTTTACATCCTTTTTGTTTAACTCACTGTTTATTTGAAAGTGTTACTGTCTATCCCTCACTCTCTGTTACTTCTTTCTTTACATTCACACTACGTCCCAAATATCATTCCTCTCTCTCTCACTGTTTGTCAATTCGTTTATATTCATTATCATTATTCTCTCTCTCTCTCTGTCAGATTCAGTTCCACATTATACTGTAAATAAAAACAAATGATCGTACTACATGCAAATATCAAATTATTGTTCCATTTTACCATTAAACTATAATAACTATTATATCATTATCATTAATCCAATGCCATAAAAATAAGACTACTCTGGATTGGTAGAGTGTAAAAGTGAAAGCTCCTTGAGATTTTGATAAGCTCTGATGAAAGGGGGAGAATGACAGTTACTAAGTAATAACATTGAAAGTATCTATTGTATGGGATAATCATGTGAGCATGGAGTTTACTTAGACACATTCTCTCTTCCTCCATCCCTCTATCTCTCTCTCCTCTGCCTGTCTCCTTATTGCTGGTCAAAGATTAGTACTATTAAGCTCACAAGCTTTTAGTTAGTATTCATAAACACGTACATGTACATGTATAATATTAAACACAAAAGCAAGATTTGGGAAAATCTCCATCAATGCCTGAATTTACAAACAGACTTATAAAGATTTCCGGTTATAACATATGACATGACAGAGAGGCGTAGGATACATGTACATGTACATGTATATCTGTAAGAAATGATGACATGCGTATATCTGATGAATAAGCAACATTTGATACACATGTACATGGGCGTACCGCCCACACAATTGATTAAATATAATTGAACTAATAGAAAGCTATTATAGTTGCTCATTGTTAAGATTCTTCCACTGCTACGGTGGATGATTCGGTCACTACATAAAACGGTCCCTCCCTCACGTATTGCTTCAGTTTGAGGTACACTGGCCCGTCCATGGTCTCCTCACAGTATGGAGAGTCGGCCATAGCCTTTATGATATCATACTTCATCTCCTTGCCTTTCTTATCTCCTTCGGTTTTACGATCCAGTAAATACTCTACGAAGCCTGGGCAAGCCTTCATTTCTTTCTGGCCCCATTTCCAGCTTGAAACACTGAGTAAGAAGGAGAGAGAGGCGTAACGTAAGTCCGGAAAGGGTTGCTTGGCGATTGTCATTGCTACAGAAATGAAGCCAGGCAAGGCACTAGATACCCACTTATAACTGATAGAAGCTTCATCATCATCAGACAGACCCTCGTCACATGACAATATACGAGAAAAGGCTTCAAGGCTACGTACACGTAACTCGGTTCTGGATTGAAGCACAAACCCTCCGATGGCCTTTATTACAAGGTTTACCTTTTCTGGTTTAGCAGTCAGAGCTTCTCTTCCTTTTTGAGTTGAACACAAAAGAGCAAAAGTGTCCAAAGCAACTCCCCAGAGGGTATCTTCTTCTGGGGAAGTGATTCCTTCTAAGACTGTCTCTAGGAATAATGGATACTGGGTACATACAGTAGCTGTGGTTATGGTGTTTAAGTGACAGTAATGACCAAAGAACTTAATAATACCTGTGTAATAATGAGAGAGAAAGAGAGAAAGAAAGAGAGAGAGAAAGAAAGAGAGAGAGAAAGAAAGAGAGAGAGAGAAAGAAATAGAGAGAGAAAGAGAGAGAGAGGGGGGAGAAGTCATATAGAGAAAAAGGAGAAGAAGAATAAGAGAGAGAGAGAGAGAGAAGTAAAAAAGGGTGAAAATAAAGGAAAGTTTATCAACATATTCTGATTTGGTTCAAATTGCAACTGATACAATTGTGCCATGTAAATGTAAACGTATCATCTTCTAGGTAAACCGATATTTGCATTAGTTGCAGTTCTCAGACACCATAACATGTCTAAAAGCCAACTGTGTTGACATAATAAAAAAATAAATATACACGTACATGATATGTAGACATTGTACATGTGTAATACACACAACAAATGAATTTTAAGATAATACATTACGCACATAATATTAAATGTACACGTACATGTACATACATAATGATATTATGTGTGACATATACCGGTATGTCACACATAATGTACATGTACATGTATGTGTACTGGCATGTCCGTTACTATTCTATGTACATGTACATGTACATGGTGATGTTATATATGAGTGACATATATGTCACCCACTATTATGTACATGTACACATAAAGATGTACATGTATATGTACATGGCATGTCCGTTACCATTATATGTACATGTACATGTACATGGATGACATAATGTGTGTTACCTGGAACTATCATTGATGCCAAAGGATTGTTATCCTTCCCTTCTAGAATACTGTGAAGCTTCTTCAGTATATCTGCAGCAGCTATCACTTCCAGACCGCCATCAGACTCTGCCAACTGTTGCAACAGCTCGAGACAATTTAAATTAATTAGGATATCGTCAGATTCTAGCTCGGCTATTAAAGAACTAATAAAACCTTCTTCCTGAATGAATTGTAGGACGTCAAGAGAAAGGAGAGAGAGACGGACTAAGAGATTGTACACTCGAAACCTAATGACGTCACTTTTAGAGACGAGAGAACGAAGATCTAATACAAAAGCGTCCCTAAGTGTCCCTGGAGTTGTAAAAATTGACGGAGAGTTTTTAAACAGTGTTTCTATGATGTTTGTTGCTAATTGTGCACAGGCTAGTACCGCATCTCCGATAATCACCGTGATTAAGTGGAACATGGTCGACTGGAGGGCAATTTGGTGGAACGATGGTGAAGACGAGATTTTCTGGTTGAGTAGCTTGAGACATAGCTGACGGACGGGCTCCGCTGGGTGCTGTAGCCCTAATTCAATCTCTTGGGCTAGTTTCAGGAATTGAGGAAGAGGGAAGGCACTTAGCATTTTGTATAATGCAGCACAGGCAACGTTTAGGGTTTCCGGTTCCTGATCTCCCGAGAGATGATAAAAAATTAGCTGTGGGCCGATTATTGTGGAGATTTGAAGCACTTCAGAGTTAGAAGGACAGCTCTCCAGCAACGTGTTGAGTCCTTCCAATGTCTCAAAGATGTCGTCACCAGCTGAAAGCTTGTCACGGAGTTCTATCAACTGAGAAACCTCGGAAGCCATTTTAAAAATTTCAATAAATAGGAAAGTTGTAGATTTGCGGTATACCACGTTGTAGCACGTGGGTTAGCCCTACCGTAAACAATTTTAATAAACTGGACAAGAAATATTTTCATCATTTTTGTTGGAAAAAATGGCTACTGGGATTGGTGTATTCACAAAGTTAGTTGGATATTAAATGGCCAAATGATTTATTATTTTAAAATAGGAAAGCAGTTGCTGCATATGATAAGTGGATCCTATCCAGTAAAAGCAGTGAAACGAGTCGAATCTCCTTCATAAAAGAGGAGGAGGAGGGAGATGAGGAGGAAAGCGAAAAATATGTCCAAGCTTTCTCTGATCTGGGACTACAAATAAGTGCCCATCAAGGTAGCATTTAACTGTCATTTTAATTAGCTATAATTATTTTTAATTAGCAATGAGCTAATTTAATTAAGTGCTATAATTATATTATTTGTAGTCAGACAGTTATTGTTGACTTGTTCATCGTGTATAAGAGAGGAAGGTGAGAGACCAAGCAAGAGAAGGAAAGAGGAAAATAAACCAAGTAATAATAGAATTATAATACTATAATAGTAATACAGTAATGATAAATGATTCATGTTGTACTGTAATGATAATGAGATTACATGTACTTGTTTGTAGTGTGGTAATGTTATTTGAGAAATTTAGTGTACTAATAATTGGATCACATTAGGCATTAATTTAAGTACTATAGAAGTGTTATTATGTTTATTCTCTACTCTCTCTCTGTCTCTTTCTCTCTCACTCTGTCTCTCTGTCTCTGTCTCTCTCTCTCTGTCTCTCTCTCTCTGTCTCTCTCTCTCTGTCTCTCTGTCTCTCTCTCTCTGTCTCTCTGTCTCTCTCTGTATCTCTCTCTCTCTCTGTCTCTGTCTCTCTCTGTCTCTCTCTCTCAGTTCTCTCTTTCCATCAGTTTTGTGTATTTGCTAGTGAAGTTGCTTACCACCACAGCTCCTGTCGTCTAAGCAGGTAAGTATTGAAAACCCAATCACTTACTTAGAGATTAAAATCATTGTATATATTTGCTCGACCAGGTCTGATGATGGTAGCATGGAGAAGCGATACATTAAACCAATCAAAGAGAAACTGAAATTTATAAGTATGGCATAACACATCATCTACCAGTATTTTATATTTTATTTATTTATTTATTATTTAGATAGTGAATGTAGACATGAAGGTAAGTATATTAATTTATTAATTTCTGGTAGCAGTTAGTTTGTGTTTTAGTATTTCTTGGTGGATCCTGCAATCCAACTGTTTGGAGGAGAGAGCTATCAATACCTTTACTGGAGAATGAAGGAGTCACTTACTATAACCCGGTAAGAATAGATCTATTATTATACATGTGGTAATGTACATATACATGTACATGTACATTTATAACGTTATTGTATGATACTTAAAATGTTATTTTATTACACAATAGCCAGTAAGTCATTATGTGTATTATTGGTCACATTTTTATAATTTAATATATCTTTCCCTACCAATCAATGATACTTACACTGATACGCTCATACATTGTATGTGGTGTATCATGTACATGTACATTTATGAGGTTTTTGTATGATGATAATTGATAATGTACATTATGTACATGACTATGTGTACCTATATAATTGTTTTATTATTTTGTTTTGCATCTTTTCTTATAGCAAGTTGATCACTGGACCCCTGAACTTATGGAAATCGAAGAAGAAGCTAAAAAGGTATTTAGTGATTCTATTCTATCAATCTTGCATGTAATGGTGGTCATACTTCATTTATTTCTCTCACTCCTTCCTCCTCCCTCTCTTTCTCCTCGATTACTCACAGAATGCTGTTGGTCTCCTCTTTGTTATAGACAATCAAACAAGAGCTTGTTCATCCATAGTAGAGACAGCATATCTAATAGGTATACCAGTAACTACCTATATATACAATGGTATCTCTCTCTCTCCCCCCCCCTCTCTCTCTCTCTCTCTCTCTCAGGGAGACAAGAAGAAGCCATTGTCGTAGTTGTGAACGATTTTTTGGACGATTCTTGCCAAATTGCTGGAGAGGCAATTGGCGAATTGTAAATTAAAATGATAGTTAATTTTAATTATATTTTTATTAGTGAATTTCCTGACCTCAAGAAAAGTCGATTGATCATCAAAGACTTGATATATTCCCATAATATTTTAATTGAACCGAATGTGAAAAGAGGGACAGAGACTGTCGTCAAGGTAGCGTTAATTAACTATTATTAAAATAATAGTTATTAAGTATGGTTCAGGTTGTACGGGAATTATTTACTGAGGAAGATTTGATGAGAAAACTTGAGAGAAATAGAATCACAAATAAAATTTATAATGAAAATATTATAAGGTACAAAAAATACTTCTTTCATATAATTATTGTGCTTCTCTTTAGCAAACTAAATTACATATTTTCAATGTATGATAATTATAAAGACAAGACACTAACAATTAATGAGGTAATATATTATTAGTATATTGTTAGTGTATTATTAGTATATTATTAGTATATTATTAGTGCATTATTAATATTATTAGTACATCGTTAGCATCATTAATATAATATTAGTATATTATTTTAATTTTAGTATTTTCAGTATACTTTCACCTCTAGGCATGTTTGGCCCTTCATTCTCTTAAAGTATTGTCACCGTTCGCTAGTCTTCCCTCTCTCCTTCCTTCCCTACCTTTCTCCAGGTGGGAGAGAGACGGGATCAATTTTGACGAGTTTTGTATGTTATACTGTGAATTGAGATACCATTCGTCAGTTAAACTGAGGGACACTGTTAGTAATGGATGGACTTGGAGTTTAGGGACGTACCTGCGGTCATCGGTACAATGGTTGTCAGGTAATTTTAAGATTTAAAAAACTTTGATCCAGAGGATGAAATCCCTGTACTATAGCCCGTGGTTTTTTCTGAAAAATGGCTCCAAAATCACCCCCAATTTTTATTACATTTTCTGATACATATTGATGTACATATGCTATGTAGAAAGTTTGAGCTAATTCCGATTAAAATTTTTCAAGTTAAGGCCATTTTTAAAAATGAGCCAAAATCTGAAAATTACCCAAGGCTATAGCCCATGGTTTTTCCAAAAAATGGCTCCGAAATTATCCCAAATTTTTATTACATTTTTTGAAACATATCAATGTCCTTATGCTATGTAGAAAGTTTGAGCTGATTCCAACTTCAATTTTTCAAGTTACAGCCATTTAAAAAAATGAGCCAAAATCTGAAAAATACCCAAGGCTATTATAGCCCATGGTTTTTTCCAAAAAATGGCTCCGAAATCACCTCCAATTTTTATTACATTTTCTGATACATATTGATGTACTTATGCTACGTAGAAAGTTTGAGCTGATTCCGACTTCAATTTTTCGAGTTACGGCCATTTTAAAAATGAGCCAAAATCTGAAAAATACCCAAGGCTATAGCCCATGGTTTTTCTGAAAAATGGCTCCAAAATTACCCCCAATTTTTATTACATTTTCTAATACATATTGTTGTACTTATGCTACGTAGAAAGTTTGAGCTGTTTCCAGCTTCAATTTTTCAAGTTACGGCTATATTAAGAAAATGCCAAAATTCTGAAAAATACCCAAGGCTATAGCCCATGGTTTTTTCCGAAAAATGGCTCCGAAATCACCCCCAATTTTTATTACATTTTATGATACATATTGATGTAATTATGCTGTGTAGAAAGTTTGAGCTGATTCCGACTTCAATTTTTCGAGTTACGGCCATTTTAAAAATGAGCCAAAATCTGAAAAATACCCAAGGCTATATACCGTATAGCGGGTAATTTTCGACTGGTGCTTATTTTCGTCTGTTTCGTTGCTATTAATTCTGAACGAAAATTAATTCTGATGAAAATTAATTCTGAAGATAGGCGTGACCATAATAAATTATTAATAACATGATGATAACAAGCATGGATGGCCTTGAAAACGGTGTTCACCTTCTAAAGAATCTCTTCCAGACCCTACAGGACCAGAGGACCTCTTTCTAATGCTATCAGTCCTAGAGATGCTAGTGAAGACATAAGATCAATTATTTTTGTCTAGTCGAAAATAAAACCAACGAATTTTTATTCTAAAGCCATTTCTGGTTTTAGTCGAAATTTTCAACCACCGAAAATAACCCGCTATACGGTATATAGCCCATGGTTTTTTCCAAAAAATAGCTCCGAAATCACCCCCAATTTTTATTATATTTTTTGATACATATTGATGTACTTATGCTACGTAGAAAGTTTGAGCTGATTCTGATGAGAAACTTTTGAGTTATGAGCATTTTAAAAATCACATGTCCATGTTCTGCTTGTAATATTCACTTCATCACTTACTTGTACATGATGCTATAGTATATTAACAGATTTCTATATTCGTAGGTTTAATATGGCGTCCATTTCCTTCCCCTCCTCCTCCCTCTAACGTATATGATGTTTATTTAGGAGGTACAGTAGATAATGATGACTGGAGAAAAAACATAGCAATACCTTTACTAATGTAAGTACATGTATTAATTATTTGTACATGTAGTTTTGTAGGGGTAT